GGGTGGAGTTATAAGTAGCTTAAGTTATATAATACAAACTTGATGGTCTGAAAGGTACACCTCCACCTAATTACCTTGTTAAAGAAAGAAAATAGCATATAATAATAATTTGTTTTCTCCTAAAGAAGTGACAAAGCCAGACTTTACGTCCAGGTGTTCAACTCCAGAGTCACCCCTCTTGAATTCTATGCTCTCTCTGGGTGAAGGAGCCCTGGTGGCATCGTGGATTACATATTGGGGTGCTAACAGCAATGTCAGCAGTTCAAAACCGCTGGCTACACCATGGAAGAAAGAGGAGGCGTTGCACTCCCATAAAGAATTAAAGCCTGGGAAACCCAGGGATACTTCTACTCTGTGGGCTAGGATTGCTGTGAGTCGGAATCGACTGGATGGCAGTGAATTTCTTGCATGGTGACGTCATTCAGAAGTTCCAGTTAGACCAGGAGTCAGCAATCTTTTGCTGTAAATGGCCTGGTAGTAAATATTTAGACTCTGGGTGTCAGCCAGTGCCTATTTCAATGATTCCACTCTGTACTTTTAAAGACAATACATCCACCAATGAACAAATGAGAGGTACTGTGCTCCACTGAAACTTTACATATGAAATCTGGTCTAGGCTTAGCCCCCGGGCTGTATGTAGTTTGCAGACTCCAAATTGGTTCTAAATATTGGTAAGGTAAATATCCCTGAGTTTATATATATATATATATCGTTGTTTTGGCACCTTAATGAACAGTTGTCAAGTATCAGTTGTATTCCAGGCACAAGGACAGGTTCTCAGAGGGGACACCTCCACTAACAATCACACACAATGCAGGGACCATCCTGCAGAGACAGATGCATGCCCCAGGGGTCGTGGGTACTCATGGTGCTTTTTATCCTGTGTTCTCCTGGTTGAAGTCGAAGTGAATGTTTCATCAGCATCTGATTTGCTCATTAATATTCTCCCCACCTGAGGCCATCTGACGGCCAGCGGTAGGTAGCTTGTGGTGTGCTATTGGTAGACCAGTGGTAGATGTCTCCGTTTCCATGAGGAAGATCTGGTTTTGATTTCTGGCCAGTGTAGCTCAGGTACAGCCACCACCATCCTGTGTGTTGCTGTGATGTCCAACAGGTATTGGTGGGACCTCTGAACTAAAATGAACTAGCAAGAAAGACCTGGCCCCCCACTTTGGATACTCAGCCTG